CCCCAACTCTCCCAGCCTGGCTCCAGAGCTGCTCCAGCCCTCCCAGCATCTCTGTGGCCTCCACTGGACTCAGCTCCTTGTCCTTCTTGCTGTGGGAGCTCCAGCAGTGGCCCCAGCCCTGCAGGGGGGTCTCACAGGGCAGAGTGGAAGGGGAGAATCCCCTCCCTGGCCCTGCTGGTCACAACAAGCTACCCCTGCCCTGCACATTGAGCCCTGGAACTGCTTTGGTGGCACCATCAGAGCTGGCAGGGCAGGGCAGAGGAAGGCAGGCTTGTCCCTCTTGCCACTCCTGGCCCCTCTAGTTGGCAATTATCCCAGGCATTAGCCCCACCACCCCCCCATCCTTTCCTGGTTCCCCAGTGCTGTACAACAGCATCTCCAGCATGTCCATCCCACACTCCTGCCTTTTGGGGTCCCACTGAGAAACACCACGTGCATGATCAGCACTGAGCACACCCAGGCCTTGGTGGCCTCCCTGCAGACTCACCCTCTCAGAGACTTCACCCTCCTGCCCCAGCATTCCAGGAACACCTCCTGGCTTCTCCACCCTCTCCTGGGCAGCATCCCTCAGTGCCTGGCAGTGGGCTTGGACCTGCCTGTGCCCAGAGACAAGAGCATTGGGGGACACCACGATGGATGGAGACCCCCAACAGCTGGTGGGGGGCAGCACCCTGCCCATGACTATCACAGCATGGGTGGGAAGATTCACTTGGATACAAGTGACTTAGTTACTGGCATGAGCTCCACCACACCCCCACTTCCAGTTCCATGGAGACAACCATGGCAGTGGGTTCTGATGCTCTCACACAAGACTCCTGCTCCCAGGGAGGTCCTGGGTGCTGCAAACCATCAGGTCGGGGTGCTGTGTACCTCAGCTCTTCTGCTGCTGCTTGCAGGGCTCCCTCCTTCTTCTCCACCAGGCTGGACATCTGGGCCAGCTTCCCCCTCAGCAGGTTCAGCTCCTGCTCCTGGCATTTCACCTGCCTCTGGCTCCTCTCCAGTTCCACCTTCTGCTCCTCGCTCAGCTCCCCTGGGCACACAACGTGGGTGTCCAGATGTCTCATCACCCAGCTTGGGGGGACCTCCAGCTCTCAGTGACATCCCCTTTTCCCACCACACCCTACCAGGGGTTGTCACCAACAACAGATTTTCCCCCAGACCCTTGTCCTGCCCTTGAAGCAGCTTCAGACCCCTGCCCAGAGAAGCCCACCAGTGGAATGTTGAGAAATATGGGCTCAGCTTTGTCCACCTGAGGTCCCCTGGTTACCCTCACCCCCCATCCCACCAATCTTGGGATGGGAATCTCCCACCTTAGCCCAGAACAGGGAGAAATTCCCCTACCCAAAGGGAACAGATCCCTGGCTTTGCCCTGAGCAGGACAACCCCTCTGCTCCAGGATGGTGACATCTATTTCCCACTGCCTGCCTGTGCCCACCACCACCTCCTCTGGGAAGAGGGATGGACACCACGGGGAACCCTTCACCCACCTCTCATGTCTGACATCCTGGCTCTGGTTTCCATGAGCTCCTTGGCCATCCCAGCAATGATGGCCTCCTTGGACAGGAGCATGTTCTGTGCTGCTGCCAGCTCCTCCTGGAATTCCCTGAGGGATAACAGCACATCTCACAGCTCCTTTGGAAGAGTCTTTGCATGGAGCCAGCACCTTCTGGAGCTGCATCCCACCATCACTACACATGGTCATGTTTGTCACTGCTTTTCCATCCCCCAGGTTGATGCCTGTGGCTTTGGGACTTGTCACCTTGCTGTCCCCTACCTGGAGCCATCCAGATGGGACAGCAGATCACTCACACACTGTTTGGCATCCCTTGGACACCACATGCCCCTCAGACCATCTCAGCCAAGCCAAAGGCCTCTTCTCACCATCACAGACAGAAACAAGGGACAGGACAAGTTGCCACCAGCCCTTTGGTCTCCCTTAAGCTCTCCAAGGGATCACTGCCCTTCTCCCAGCCCCTCTGACCAAGACCACCAGCCAGTGCTGCTCACCTCAGACAACTGTGTGACTCTGTGGCAGGACAATCCTCCAGCTGGGTTCCTGATGTTGACTTGATGGCATCATCCCCAAAACCTAGAGGACACCACAACATGGGCAGATTGTCATGCAAAGTCCAAAGAAAGAGTTCAAAGAGAGAATCCAGAGGAGGCCACGGAGGTGCTGGGAGGGCTGGAGCAGCTCTGGAGCCAGGCTGGGAGAGTTGGGGTGTTGAGCCTGGAGAAGAGAAGGCTCCAGGGAGACCT